GCTTTACTGCATCTACAGACTGATTGTACTGTTGTGGGTTTAGTAACACTTTAAAGCATGGTCCAGTGTGTTCTATGTGAGGGAAAAAAAGTTCCCTGAAGCAATCAGCTATTCCCTGGATCATCAATCTTTAGTGCTGATCTAGGGTTGGAATTTAATCCGACAGTTCCAAGCCTTAGATCACCACTGTCCCTTATTTTGTATTAAAGGAGAAGTACGGTCGAAGCTATTTTGGCTGTTCTTCTCCTATGGATCACTCGTTCTAGATCCCGCTATTGGCTGATATCACTGAGCCAGTCTAGGCTCAGTCAAGATCCACCCAGATACCTGGACCAGCTGATGGCTCAGCATTTCAGCGAGCCAGCTCCTCTGGCCCACAGCCCGGCGCTCCAGTGAGTGCTGGAGGGGCAAAGCAGAGAGCCGGTGACTGACAGTCACCAGCTCTTTGCAGGTTGAATACCAAGAACTGAGCAATCCGTAGTCTTTGATCGTTCAGTTCTCGGTCTTAGAGGCAGCATAGGACAGATACAGCATTGATTGCTACTGCAGCCATCTAGGTGAGTATGATTGTTTTGGCATTTTCCATACTTCTCTTTTAAATGATAAGTAAATCCCAAAAACAAAAATTTATTTATTACAGCATTTCAGACCTTAGAAGTAGTGGCGTTCCACTTTTACAGGCTAAGAAAGTTTTCAAAAACGACAGAAAATACTTGTTGATCTTGCCAGAAATACCTAAAAATGTTTTCTTTCTTTTGTGAGTTACTAATCTACCCATCCCCCATGTAATGGACATGAGACGTGAAATCCAGCTTTGACAGTCATGGTGCCTTCTATAGATATAGCTTGGCGATTGAGTGTTGTCACCCTAGGACAGGAAGTGTGTTACTGCCAGGGATCACCAAGTTGAAATAAAGGAAAGAAGGCTGAAAAAATAAAACAAATACAGCCACCACACCCAAAGACTGGTAAGCTGTGATATATTGCATTTTTTCGCTTCAGTTTTCATATGGATTAAGCTCACAAAATCCATCAGTTGGGCAGGTGAAGAGCTTTTCTTGGTCAACTTGTTTGCAAAGTAATAATCCAGCGTCCTCTGTGTATAAACACCATGGGATCAGCAGACCTGCATGGTTACTGGTTGTACAATCTCCTTTAGATTGACCACAACTACAGTATATGTCAAAAGTTGTGTACACTGTATAAGGACATGGTCTTACAAGTTTGGTGGAGGAGGAACTTGAGTGACCTGCACACAGTCCTGACCTCCACTCTATTGATCATCGTCCAAGTGAACTGCACAGAGCCCTTACTTCAACTCTACTGAACATCTTTTGAGTGGCCTGCACAAAGCCCTGACCCCAACCTTACTGATCATTTTCCGAGTGGCTTGCAAAGAGCCCTTAGAACTGTCTAAGTACTGGCTGTGCAATTTCGTTTAGATTGACCAACAACTACAATATATGGTCAAAGGTTGTGGACACTGTATGAAGATATGGTTTTACCAGTTTGGTGTTCAGGAACTTGAGTGGACTGTGCAGAGCCTGACCTCAGCTCAATTGAACATCTTCTGACTGACCTGCACAGAGCCCTGACCTCAGCCCTGTAGATCAATTTTTAAATGTTCTGCACAGAGCCCTGACCTCAACCTTATCTGACACCTTTGAGTGGCCTACACAGAGCCCTAACCTCAACTCTATTGATCATCTTCCAAGTGGGCTGCGGAAAACCCTGACCTCAACTCTATAAAACACCTTCTTAGTTGCCTGCACAGGGCCCTGACCTCAACTTTTTTGATCATCTTCTGAGTGGATTGCACAGAGTCCTTCAGTTCTACTGAACAGCTATTGAGTGGCCTGCACAGTGCCCTGACCTTAACCCTACTGGACAAATTGGAGTGGCCTGCACAGAGCCGTTACCTCAACCCTATTAAACATCTTCCAAGTGATCTGCACAAAATCCTGATTTCAGTTTTTTTAAACACGCTCCAAGTGGCCTGCACAGAGCCCGGACTTCAACCCTACTAAGTACTTTTTGGATCAATTGGAATTCCGGTGGAGCCAAGTCTTCTCATCCAGCATCAATACCTGACCTAATAAATGGGCACACAGTTCCCCCAGACACCCTCCAAAATCTTGTGGAAAGCCTTCCCAGAAGAGTGGAGCATGTTATAGTTGCAGAGGGGAGGCCACCTCCATACTAATGGCCATGGTTTTGGAATAGGATGTCCAACAAGCTCATATACAATAGACATGGGCAGTTGTAAGCAAGCTTTGACCATATAGTGTGAGGACCTACCAGATTTTCATTCCACCTATAGCCAGGCTAGTAGGTCCCGCACGGTCTTGCTGTTGGTAAATCTAAAGGAGATTGCACAATCTGATAGTAATGAGTGTGGCCAGCTTTAGAAATACACCCCAACCCTAATATGTATCAATTGTTGATATACGTTGGTGTTAACAATACATTTCTGACAATAATTAAAAACCTGTAAGACTGTTAACTGTAGGTTAGTTCCCTCAATTTGCCGAAAAGCTGGACTCTGGGATACCAACAAAATGCACAGCTGATATAGCTGTCTAGCTAAAGACTTTGATTCTGTTCAGCTGGTCTTGTGATCCGACTGATGACACACTCCAATTTGTGATTGGACAATAAATAACTGCAACTCAATAATGATGTTGTCTCACCTGTTGTAAGCAAGGTCAAGGTATTTCATTAAGACATCACTATGAAAGGCAGCAGAGACATGATCGTCTGAGCGCTGCCTCTTCAGCCTGAATTCTGCTGGGTGGGTGATTAGAGTCAGGGGTGGGCAAATTAATATGGAGTTCAGGAGCCAGTCTGATTAATCTAGGAGCCAACAGTTTTTTTTTTTTTAGGAGCCATCTTCATCAACAATGAAAACCTTAAAAAAAAACCCTTAAAAGTTAGGCGCCATGTGTATTTGTTATGAACCTCCAGGGAAAATGGAGTGAGATCAACTGTTCGCTGATCTCCCTTACCTCAAAAACCACCTGAAAAAAGTCACTTCTGGATTATGGAGTCACTTTCTCCACCTGGTCTGGCCAGGGAAGAGTGTAATAGATCATGATCTGTGCTCCATTAGCTTCATTGGAGGACAGGTGAGATCTCAGGGCTCTAAAAGACCCCTTATGTCTCACATAGGGGTCAGATGAGAGAAAACAGATGAATTTTGATGGGCTACTGCGGGATACCGCTGTTTGTAAATTTTTCCTCGCCTGGAAAAACACACTTGGAGCCCATGAACACAAGAACAATTTCCAAAATTTTGACGAAACTGAGTTTTATAGAACATTTGTTTAGCCCATTACATGAAAGTAAGGTTAGTAATGACCCCCATGATTTGTAAGGACACCACCAAGTCTTCTAGGCATGGATTGAACAAGTTGGTGACATATTGCAACATCGATCTTTTTCCATTCTTCAAGAACGACCTCTTTTAGAGCCTGGTTGCTGGATGGAGAGTTGATGCTTAACTTGTCTCTTCAGAATTCCCCATAGATTGGGTTCAGATCAGGAGACATACTTGGCCACTGAATCACTTTCACACGGTTCTTCTTCAGAAATGCAACAGGAAGCCTTAGATGTGTGTTTTGGATCATTGTCATGTTGACGACCAAGGGCACGGAGTGATGGTAGCATCTTCTCTTTCAATATAGAGCAGTGCATCTGTGAATTCATGATACCATCAATGAAATGCAGCTCCCCGACACCAGCAGCCCCACAGAAGGACACTGCCACCACCATGTTTCACTGTAGGCACCATGCAGTTTTGAAGCCATCTGTTCCAAAAAACATTTATCTTGGTCTCATCACTCCAGAGTACAGAGTCCCAGTATTCTTCTTTTTCAGCATGGGCCCTGGCAAATTCTAGGTGGTCTTTTTCATGCATTGGCTTTAAGAGAGGCTTCCTTTGTGGACGACACCCATGCATGCTGTCCTCTGCAGTGTATACCGTATTGTGTCATGGGAAACAATCACCCCAGTTTGGCTTTATGATTCTTTAGATAACTGCAGTGAACTTGTATGGTGATTTTCTTCTCATTAGAAGATGCTCCTGTTGAGGTGTTACTTCCATGGACGGGCTGGATGTCTCTGTGAGATGGCTGCAGTTCCATCTTTGTTAAATTTTTGTATCACTTTTGCTACAGTATTCTGACTGATAAGTAAGGCTTTGCTGATCTTCTTGTAGCCTTCACCTTTCTTGTGAAGAAATTATTTTCTTTCTCAGGCCTTGTGACATTTCTCTTCCATGTGGTGCCATTGCTGACAGCATGAAATGGGAGGTGTTTTCTTTTTTAAGTTTTATAATCACCTGTCTGCTGGACACCTGTTTAATGAATAATTAGACTCACCTGGAGTTGCATATTTGTAAATTAGGTTTTTGTTTTTGTCTAAAATTTAGCTTTGCTGCTAAGACTTTCATTGGGGTGTGTTCATTTTTGCAACATGATCTTGAATGAATTTGTTAGGAAAAATTAAATTTTTGTGTGTGCAAATTAACAAATCTTGTTTGCAATCAATGGGCCGTATTTGTGGGAGGATTTTGTAGTATAGTGTCCCATAGAAAATGTGGATTCTGAAAGGAAAGTGAAAGTTTTCTCACAAATCTGTTGGGGTGTACTCATTTATGCCGAGCACTGTAGAGGCGCTGCTTTTTTCTCTTTTTTGTTGCACATCTGGAGCCACTTTCTGCTCTCATCTCTGCTTGCCTACAGTGGATGGACTTGGACTTGACATTTAAACCGCACTGTTGTATTCACACCAATCTCAGGACTACTGATTTGTACCATGTTCTATGCGCCTCATTTTTAATTTGTCATGTGGGAGTTAAAACCCACCCTCTTGTCACCGCACATATGTGTTATGCGGGCAGCAACAGGTTAGGATGGGTGTAAAACTGTGGCTCAACCGTCTGTTTTCACTGCCCCCCTCCCCTCTGGCCACAAGTGTTAATGAGGCCTAAGGCAATGCACATGCGTTGCGGCGTGCCACAACCAACCGTAGTGTGTTGTGTTACAGATTTTGTGACATTTTTCAGATATTCAGGTGCAATGGCACCCTATTGATTTCAGTGATCTCTGCCAATCCCTCCACTGGCCTCCAATCAGTGTCCTACATCCCTCTCTGCCAATCCCCCCACTAGCCTCCAATCAGTGTCCTCCACCCCTCTTTGCCAATCCCTCCACTGGCCTCCATTCAGTGTCCTCCATCCCTCTCTGCCAATCCCTCCACTGGCCTCCATTCAGTGTCCTCCATCCCTCTCTGCCAATCCCTCCACTGGCCTCCAATCAGTGTCCTCCATCCCTCTCTGCCAATCCCTCCACTGACCTCCACTCAGTGTCCTCCACCCCTCTCTGCCAATCCCTCCACTGGCCTCTACTCAGTGTCCTCCACCCCTCTCTGCCTATCCCTCCACTGGCCTCCAATCAGTGTCCTCCACCCCTCTCTGCCAATTCCTCCACTGGCCTCCTCTCAGTGTCCTCCACCCCTCTCTGCCAATCCCTCCACTGGCCTCCACTCAGTGTCCTCCACCCCTCTCTGCCAATCCTTCCACTGGCCTCCACTCAGTGTCCTCCACCCCTCTCTGCCAATCCCTCCACTGGCCTCCTCTCAGTGTCCTCTACCCCTCTCTGCCAATCCCTCCACTGGCCTCCACTCAATGTCCTCCACCCCTCTCTGCCAATCCTTCCACTGGCCTCCACTCAGTGTCCTCCTCCCCTCTCTGCCAATCCCTCCACTGGCATCCACTCAGTGTCCTCCACCCCTCTCTGCCAATCCCTGCATTGGCTTCCACTCAGTGTCCTCCACCCCTCTCTGCCAATCCCTCCACTGGCTTCCACTCGCCCAATGAATAAAATTCAAAATACTAACAACAACTTACAAAGTCATCCACAACTCTTCTCCCAGCTACATCACCAACCTGGTCTCAAAATATCAACCAAACTGCTCTTTTTGATCTTTCCAAGACCTTTTGCTCTCTAGTTCCCATGCTCACATCCAGGACTTCTCCCGAGCTTCTCCCATCCTAAGGAACTCCCTACCCCAATTTGTCCGGCTTTCTCCTAATCTATACATCTGAAAACCTTTCTCTTTAAAGAAGCCTATCCTGCTTCTACCTAGTAAACCGCCATTTATTTTCTCCATCAGCTCCTCCCCCCCCTCAGCTATTACTTTTTGTATCACTCAGCCCTTCCTCCTAGATTGTAAGCTCCCAGGATCAGGGCCCTCTGCTTCCTCTTGTACCAAATTGTATTGTAACTGTAATGTCCGCCTTCATTTTGTACAGCGCTGAGCAAACTGTTGGCGCGATATAAATCCTGTATTATAATAAGAATGCAACGCTCATTAATGAATTGTGTGTCTGCACTACACAAATGTAAAAGGACCCTTAGTGTATTTTAGGAGTCGCATGGTGAACACTCGCTCCCCTCTTATGTTCCTCCGTGCTGTTTGATTCTGATGGAGTTTTTTTGGCAAAGATGATTTGTGGAGTTAAAAAAACAACTAAATGCCAATATATTTGTAGTTCTGTTCCGGCACATCCCTGCCACACTGTACAACCAAAGAGGGGGGCACTACTATTTAGACCCTGCAGCTTCTGCACCCCCTTTTTCAAGCTTTCCCATTGGCCTGTGAGCACTGCCGAAGTCCCCTCCCTTCTTTCCTTCCTGTAAGTTACCTAAACACGTCTCCCTCTCCAGCACCTACAGCCTGTAACATGTCAGCATGATTATGCAATACAGAAGGCATACGGTTCCGACTTTTCATTGTGTTGGGTTTCCGGCTCGCAGAGCGTTATGGGAAATCATATAGATGTTAGATAACGATTTTGAATTTCAATTGGGATTTGAACCAACGACCCCAGTACTGCCAGGCAGAAGTGCTAACCATTTAGCCGCTGTGCTGCCCGCACACAAGTCGCACGTATAACATTCAGGTACAACTTGCAAACGACTTTGGAGGGTTTAGATTGAAGTCTATGACCCTCAAGTCGCGTGAAAGTCGACCAAAGTAGAGCAGGAACTACTTTGAAGTCACACAGATATGAATGGTACTCATTTGGAAACATGGGATGTGACTTGTCATGCGCCTTTGGACCCCAAAGTCACATGACAAGTCGTACAAGTGTGAATGGGCTCTAACAGCGGTCTCCAAACTATGGCCGTTTGCTTGCCTTTATCAGGCCCTTGAGGCAATATTTGTGCCACTGACACCAACAACGGGGCACTATTCCCTCCACTGACACAAACAACGGGGCATAATTCCCTCCACTGAACCAAGGATGGGGCACTATTTCCTCCACTGACACAACAATGGGGCATAATTCCCTCCACTGACACCAAGGATGGGGCACTATTCCTTCCACTGATGCCAACGATGGGACACTATTCCTTCCACTGATGCCAACGATGGGACACTATTCCCTCCACTGACACCAAGGATGGGGCATTATTCCCTCCACTAACGCGCCAACAATGGGGCACTATTCCCTCCACTGACACCAAGGATGGGGCATTATTCCTTCCACTAACGCCAACAATGGGGCACTATTCCCTCCACTGACACAAACAACGGGGCATAATTCCCTCCACTGACACCAACAACGGGGCATAATTCCCTCCACTGACACAAACAACGGGGCACTATTCCCTCCACTGACACCAAGGATGGGGCACTATTCCTTCCACTAACGCCAACAAGGGGGCACTATTCCCTCCACTGACACAAACAACGGGGCATAATTCCCTCCACTGACACCAAGGATGGGGCACTATTCCTTCCACTGACACCAAGGATGGGGCATTATTCCTTCCACTAACGCCAACAATGGGGTTCTATTTCTTCCACTGACACCGTTTCTTCCCCTAATAGCAAAGATATGAATTGTACTCATTTGGAAACATGAGGTGCGACTTGTTATGCGACTCTGGACCCTGAAGTCGCATGACAAGTCATACAAGTGTGAATGGGCTCTAACAGTGGTCTCCAAACTACGGCTGTTTGCTTGCCTTTATCATCCCTTGAGGCAATTTTCCCTCCACTGACATCAACGATGGGGCATAATTCCCTCCACTGACATCAACGATGGGGCATAATTCCCTCCACTGACATCAACGATGGGGCATAATTCCTTCCACTAACGCCAACAATGGGGCATTGTTTACTCATACTAGGCACAGCCCGGCCCTCCAAAGTTTTGAAGAACAATAACTGGCCCTTTGTTTAGAATGTGCAGAGGCCCCTGACCTATGAGACGTACATTTGTCATTTGTATTCTTGAATATTAGAATCTTGAATATTTCTTCCAGATCTGTGCTGTAATCCAATGTAAAACTTTGCCTCTGTGCTGGAACTTCCTGTAATAAAGACCACTCACCGCCGCTCTCTCTCCTTGCGCACGACTGGTCTTGTCTCCACCCCCTCCTGTAGTTCTCTCCGGGCCACCTGTAGTGGGAGGTGCCTGATGGGCCCCTCCCACAGCTCTGTCCTCTGCACAGGCTATGTATAGCGCAGTACTGCTACTTTTCATTAATATCGGGTTTACAAATTACAATTGATGCTCACAGAGTGGACTTTTATATTCTTTTTGGCTATTGGATACTATAAATAAAATGTGTGCGCCCGTAGCCTTCACAAAAACAGCCGTCTGACGAAAAAAAAGAAAGGACAGACAAAATCTTTTTTGAGTTAAAACAAAAGTTTATTGAACCAGTTGCTGATTTTAGTCCTACCAAGTGGGTGATTCGGTTACATTCGCCACCTACAGAATAACGACGAAGAAAATCCACACCTTTTTTTTTTTTTTTTTTTTCACGTGTCATTAAATATATTTCATATATAATAAACACATATATATTAGTATGAAAACACAAAAAGTATCGTCAACAGTGGACCTCCCACCTACCCTCTTGTCTGCGAGGAAGTCCTATAATAATATATATTCTTCTTATCTAAACACATCTAGGTGACATGGACAGGGGCTGTAAAACACGTCTGATACAGGTGAAGGTTTGATGGTCGGGCGGTGAACGAGCGTCGGGGGCTTGTCCGGGAAGCTCAGGTACAATAAACTGTGTTACAGATACTTTTTACGGATTTTATAAATACTTGGCATTTACGTAGAGACTGCGTGTGAAGGGCCACAGTGAAAAATGATTGCCAATAAAATTCTGCAATTTTCCTTTTTTTATTATTTTTTTTGTATCGGGGCTAAGAAGCTGCTGAAGGATGCCAAATCCCGGCACAGCATATCGGGGTCTGTAGTTCTTCAAGTACCTGATCATCAGTCTAAAAGTTTGCTAGGTATGCTACGGCTTGTAGTCTGACCAGGGGCGGACTGACCATTTGGAAACTCGGGCACTGCCCGAGGGCCCGGGGTTAGTAGGGGGCCCCGTAAGATGCCCATGGTACCTTTTTTCTTAGGCCTTTTTGAGTTTGGGCAAGGACACAGGGGCCCCATGATCCCCTATTGCCCGGGGGCCCCATGAGTTGTCAATCCACCTGAGTCTGAACCTAAACATTTTAAGTGTATGTCCAGCCAAAGCTTTTTACTTTAGAGTGGCAAAGGTGGCCAACCCTGGCGGGCTTTTAGTACTCCAACCCTGAACATAAATGGCCACCAGACCATACGATTGAAGAATATTTTACAGTTTCACCATAAAGAATAGTGGGGTCAACAAATCCCCCCCCTTCATCAGGGCTTGGAACAGAGGAGGACTTAGATCTGCTTCACACGGTGGGTCCAGTCAGGTCCGCCTGTCAGTTTTCCAACCTGAATGGATGGTCCATTCATGTCTATAGACTGGCAGGTGTAAATGGACTTGTATCCGTTTACACCCGCCTACCTACCCGTCCGTATTCAGTCCGCTAAAAGCAAAAGGAGATCCGTCCTCTTCTGTTTAGGCGGATCGGAGGGTAGTCGGATATAAAAACAGCAGAGTCCATTTACTTTCAGATGCCCATAGAGCAGTGGGATCTGTCGGTGTCCGCTCTGCAGAAACTGAGCGGACACGGATGTGTCATCAGCCCGTTCTGCTCCAATCAGCAGGAGATCTGTGAACTGATCAACTCGTGAATTGTGATCGAGTGAAAGGTGCCTCAAACATCAAATTAGGATTCTATATTAAGTGTGGAGTAATAAAAAAAAGAAAAAATTGCAGGTAGATACTTCCTATAAAACAAACTTACCTTTTTGCAATCTTCTTTAAAATGCAAATTGAATTGCGCATGCGCGGGAGTTGTGTCATTCGATCCGGCCAATCAAAACTGCCAAAGATCCTGAGCCTGCAAGAAAACTTGGTGGAGGTGTTGGTGCCGGCGAGGGGGAGGTGAGTTTAGTTCTGCTTCAGATCTGGTGCTTCTTTGGAAATGCCGAACACGCACTGCGATCGCCTTCGGCTCTGAGTTTTTAATGCGATCTGGGGCTCTGTTATAGAAGTTTACAAACGCTTCCTGTCAAGGTGACAACAGTTTTAGCACACAGGAAGTTGGGAAAAATCTCCGACAAAACAAGGTTACAGGTTTAAAAATGTTCTAAGGGCACTTAGGTGTCAGACCCCTGTTTGTTAATATTGCAAGTGACC